TTGAGATACAAACAAATATGACAAATGGGGCTGTAGAGAGTTTAAGTACATCTACGTTCATTTAACTGTTATAGGCAGCTTATAGAATATAACTTATAACTACTATAACAAAAAACAATTGTGATACTCCTGACTACTTACGTAGCTACAAAATATCCAATATTTAAATATCAAATTTGTTGGTTAGTAAAATGATTTTCCAAAATATTACAATAAAGAATAACCTTCTTTGTCATCTTATCTTACCTTTGTGTTCCTCAATCAGATCAGTGGCCCATTGAATCGTGTTCAGGGATTATAGAGTTCCCAACTTGCTTTGTTCTTGTAAAACTTTTCATGGCTATCATTCGCTGCTTCGGAGAGATTGCACGGACTTCTTTCTGGGAAAGAAGTACACGTGGAAAATTAAAGAGATTTTCTCTAACAAATTTAACCAACTTTTACCTGAGGTTAGGTTTTGATTTAACCACTTTAGTATTTCTTCTGTGCATATTTAGATTGGAATATATTAATTAATGTCTTGGAAATAGCTCCAAATTGTTTACAGAGATCTTATATATTTAATATTTTTACTAGTTATAGATATATTTGTGACGAAGCTTTCTTATAGAGTTTCATTGATAAATTAAGAACTATTAACGTACATCGAAGTGTTACAAAGTTATTTTCTCCTTGAGGGATCATAATAAACGATAAATAATAATTGCAAAATAAAATTTCAACGCGGTTTTAGAAACGTACTGGCTGAATACAAAAATTCCAATACGTATAAAACCTATTACGCGAAAACTCTTTTCAAGCGACCTCATGTATCTTATTATGAAATGATTCGCAAGCAGCTGATTTCGCTATTCTTCATATTTTCTTTTTTATATTCGTCAACAGATGGCGTTATAAGAAAACGTGGTGAACTGATAAACCCTATTTGCATACTTTGTCTAATATCGACTTATTATTTAATAGATTAGTGCTAGATGCGACGTGGTAGAATAAATTGCTTGTGAGTCTAATCTTGAAAAATATTATTTAGCGTTATTAAACAATGCATTCGTTTTTACACAAAGCAACATAACTGAGAAGAACACCCAAGAAACTCAGTCCGGCTTTTTAACATGTCTTATAAACAAATACATTGTTGTGAATTTACTAATCTAAGGAGCAATTCATATTACTGCCAGGCGGTCTTTTCATAAAAGAAATCGTTCAGACAATAATACGCCTTTTGAGACCATCTAAATAACTTTTTTAAATACATTTATCGATAAATTTGAAACCTAAGTGGCAATGTATTATATATACGAATACAATTCCCCGCAAATGAATTAGATATTTTATGCAGCCTATATTTGGGGATAGCTAGGTTATCTTTATTTTGTAGTTCAAACGATGCCTATCACCTTGTTTTTATTTTTATGAGCATACAATACATTTTCATAAATATACTACGAGTACACAGTAAGTATGCCGATATTTTTAAAGGTATCTCTTAATGACTCCCGAGATCCCATACTATAGATAGCCCGGACCGCCCTTTTATATGTATTTTATATTTTCCTTCATTGTACTATTATTTAAACTTCCATAGCCATCAATAAAGTAAAATATATGTGTTAAATGTGAAAACTGTTAACCTCGTCATTATACGTTAGACAAAGTATAGCGTCAAGCGAGGTGCCACTGAAAGTTGCAATAACAACTATTATTACGTTACACCGCGAACACACCTGAAACTCCAATTAACTGCAGTTTAAACTAAGTTAACTGAAAGCCGGAGTGTGATAATATATTTAGTGGGGGGGTTTAGTAGGGTTTGCCGGTCAGGATCCGTGTTTATTTTTCGAGCTAATGGATTATTAAAGTGTACTTCTTATGGGAAACCAGTTCGTGATTTTCGCGGCGCATGTAACGCGTTACATACTAATATAAAATCAGGAACGTAATGTGAATTTAATATTAAAAGCATTTACTTATTAGCTAAAAAAATTAAGTTCGTCGTACGTCCGTGGAGTCTTTTTTTACTAGAGTAGTACACATTTAAATAAAACACTCCTAAAGAAACGTCTGGCGTCGTAAATAAAATAATTTATCTATTATATTTAAACGCGAAATTATTTATTAACTTATTTACTATTAATTTTAACTACCCGGCATTTCAAAGACGTTGCAGGATTCGTGGTCACAAGGGGACGTTTTAAAATATTACACGTTTTTTTTTTCATTGCGTACTACTCGCGTAAACTACAGACAATACTTAATATGTTTTTCATTTTAAAGCGTTAGAAGTATTTTATTTAAATGTTACTAAACTACAAATAATACTTAACTCTGAATCGAAACTAACTGTAGGTATAACATTCTTTAAACAATATAGCAATGTTCTCGTTCCGAAATTTTTTTGTTCAGAAATTTGACGTCGCGTAAAACTTACTCACACTTCGTTTCTTGTAAGAAGGCACAGGGCGTGAAATTACAAGACCCGAGAATATACTCTGTGGTACATCGCATCAGTACTTCGAGATGGATGCTCTGATGACTAGGGACTCGTAAAATACTTCTTTGGATTTCAGTTGAATCCCGCACCTTTACGCGACGTAAAGCTAGGATAGATATGAAGTATAGGTATATTTGAGTTACAGGGCTAAAAACTTAGACTATATAATTGTCGCTTCTTAAGTACAAATCTCATCTGTGGGTTGAAAATGTTTCCCTAAAAAATCCCTTTTTTTATAATATTTGAAAATCAAGCTGAAGGGTGGCAAAGTTTTATATATCTACATTTTTAGTTTTATCATATAATTATTTACTATAATTATATTAATAGCTCCAGTATCCAACAAGTCGCGGGTTCGATTCTCACCTAAACTTCTTGTACAAATAAACCGGGTCTAAATAAACGTTAAATATGTAGATATTTAAATTTCGCCCGAAATACGAACCAACGTCCATAAAAAAGCGATATGTGAATTCGTGTTTCGATTGTCAAAAGCTTGGATTAACAGCGTACTAAATAATAGGGATAAGTGATCCCCTTGTGTTTCCTCCTAAGAAAGAAATTGGACTTTTTGAATTGAAATTTGACAATTGAGCTACCGATTCAGTTGGTGAGAACAGCACGGAACGCTGATGATGCCCCGGTTCAAGTCCTGTCGGAGTCGAAAATTTCTTCAATTTATTTTCGATCTTTCATTTATATAGCGCCATCAGTGCACATGTGAAAAATATTAAAGTTTCCATAGATTCTAATGGTTAAGTAACAAGTAGGTGTAGGTTTAGAGCAGCTGCGAATTAATTTCATTCCTATTTTGAGCGCTAGAAATACAATTATCTAGTAAGAGAGCTTTTATTCTGCGAACAACATGTCTAATAATAGATAGCTGTAAAGCGCTTTGATAATATCTACTGATACCTGTAAACGATTACATAAGTGATGGAATTGATTTTTATAAAAGTACGTACATCTTAGTTATATAAATGTTTAAACCTTAGAAAGAATACTAATTGCGTAATAATTGATCATTAATAAATGTGACTTTATTAAAGAAAAATAAACAAACGATTGTTCTTTATTTATTTAACTATTATTTGATATGGACGCTATATGTCTATCTTTTAAGATTAACTTGCAAGAACGACCCGAACGACGGGACGCGTACGGCGGGATACGAATATCGTCGGTAACAGCTATCTACACTAATATTATAAAGAGGAAAGATTTGTATTTTTGTATGTAATGAGTAAACTCAAAAAGTGCTGCGCCGATTTGATTAATTTTTTTTCCTTAGAAAGCTACATTATCACTGAGTAAAATAGGCTATATTCAGTACTAGATTACCATAGAAATCTTTAGAAGTTTCTATGAAAACCAATGGGAGGTTTAAAAAAATTAGCCAAAAAATATTTTTCGATGAGGTGTGTGAAACTTTCTTCTTTGGCTTATTAGGAGTGGGCGTGGGAGTGGGAGTGGGAGTGAGTGTAGGAATGAGAGTGGGAATTAGAGTAGGAGTGATGTGAGGTGCTAAATGCGCCCTCACATAAACTAGTAAACAGCTTAAATAATTAAAAATTCTACCACAAGTCACTATTCTACGCGGATGAAGTCGCGGGCACAGCTAGTATAATATATATCGCCTTTGAACATTCGGAAATACACTAAAACAGAACCACGACTAACTACATCGCTTTTACATCTATGGACGGCGGTTCGGGGCCCGGGATTATATTTTAAGAAAAACTAGAAATTGATTAATTGAAGTATCTTTATGTATTTTTTGTTATTTAGCGGTGTATTATTTCACCTAGGTAACCCCAATAAACCTGTCAAAAAAGTACAAGATCTTTTGAAAAGCCCGTTAAACGGATATACAAGCGATGTCGCCGGCAACATAGCTATTTTTATATGAAAGCTTATTGAATCAAGGCACGGACCACCCACGGCCATCTTATGGGCCGCGTGATTGCGTATAAACTTTATCCGCTAATTTAGACCTTTATCCCGCATTTATTGCCACTTTCCTTTTTATTAATTACGTGCAAGATCATATTAATTAACGCTTAACTGGTCATACTTTTAATTAGCCTGTGTGATTAAAGTAGCTCTTGGGGTTTACTTTTATTTATCGAATTAATATGGTCGTTCGATAATGTACAGATGGTATATGAAAGTATCTTTTTCGGCCTGTTCGGCCGACGAGAGCGAGAAGAGGTTCTCGACGTTTCGCACGAGCGCAACAGCCCGAAAACAATGATATGCTGAACGATGGCCGTGAAACTCTTACACAATGTATATGAAAGTATTTTTACGTGATTTTTTTGTGTATGTGATTATCTGTTTTCCCTATTGACATTTCCAGTAGGGTAGCTTGACATATAAGTTCGTTTTAGCCATACATTGTTACATTTGAGCCAATGAGCCCGTCAGACCTAAATACTATAATGGCTTGAGCACACCGAAGGCAGTTGCAGTGCGTCTACGTTTGTAAATAATGTATAATATATGAGCGATGACACACCGAATAAATGTGGGCCCGCTGAATCTAACTGCTGCGCTAGTCCGCCGCGCACGCGCTTCTCTTTCACAAAACACGTCGATAGGAGCAGCGCGGCGCAAGCGCAGGACCGCAGCGGTGAGCACGCGTTGTATTACTACGTCCACCATTGAGCAGATGAGCGGGAGAGCCGCAGTGCAGTTGCTAAACGGTTGTAATTTTTTACAAATCTATCATGGAACCGAATGCAAAATTCATGGAGTTGGTTAGAAAATATAAATGTTTATATGATAATGAAGTAAGTTGAAACTAACGATTGTTATTAAAGTATGATAAAAACTTTTCTCTCGCATAACAAGCAAAATTTGACTGATTTTGAAAACACCCTCTTGTAAACTCTGTACTGTGTTACTTATTAAATAGATTTTGATAGCCCCAATATTGTCTGTATTATATTCGATAAACTTGTAAGTAAAACATTATTAACGGTTTCGACTTAACTATCGTAAACGTTTATTAAGTCTTAAAGTTAAGTCTTACTTTTAAATAAAACACTTTAACGGTTTAAAACGCGATATATTAGTTAAACTTATTTAGAAATGATTTTTAACCCCGTGACCACGGCTGCTGCAAAGCATCCGAAACGTCGGGCCGAAGTTAAAAATCATTTCCAAATAAGTTTAACTAATATATCGCGTTTTAAACCGTTAAAGTGTTATATTTAAATGTGTACTACTCGCGTAAACTATAGACAGTATTTTATAACCTACTTTACAAATATTTTGTACTTACGGCCTTACATTTCCCGCATATGTGTAGTCCATATTTATAAACATTCATATTAATTTCACTCGTACACCGGTATTATAGATGCTATGTGCATAATAATTTAAAAATGTTACAGAATTTTAAGGATCATTCTAGCTGAACGTACGTGCCCTGGTTAGAAATGGAAGTGGGGTATGAATTTAACATTTTGCGATCTTAAATCCATTTAGCGTTCTCCCCGGGTGATGTCACACCAGGATACACTTTTTAAATTCTGACAACTCGCCTTAATTTAATTACTCTCAATCTAAACTGATATTATGCGTTTCTAGGTTGCAAATAAGTACTAAGGCAAAAATTAGACGTAGACTAGTAGATGCCTGTTGGTCTAATAACCCAAAGTACAACACAATTGTTATCAGTTTACATTTGGACTTCATCTGAAAATTTAGATATTATCGGCACAAAGGTCTTATTATTGTAGAAATAACATGACCAGTCGCCAGGAAATTCAGTAGGACCATGCTATCGATTCTATATCTTTTTTACAAAACTAATCATTTTGGCAGTGCAGATAGTGCACGGTAGCTATCAAAGAGAATTCCTCAAAGGGGAAAGATTTCTCTCTTTGAGCAAGAATTATTTAAAATATACCGTTGCTAGCCACTTACCAGTACGCGTATATAAAAGGGAAACCTGTTTCAAGAACTCCGGGCAAGGCCAACACACATTTGTGGCCGTTTCAGTCTGTCTAGTCGATTTAATTTTCTGGGTACCAGTTACTCGGATGTCTATTCGACAAAAACTACTGTTTTGTCAACGAATATTGAAGTATACATTTTGACGACCTTATTGATGTTGCCAATACATGGCTAGTAATAATTAGTTGGCAGTTGGTTAAATTTATAAATGGAAAATTAAAATGTTAAATGGGTGCTAAAAATATCGAATTTCATCCGATCTAGAATCATCATCTTAGAGATAGAAATACCGTAAATTGTTTCTCCTCAATTTCAGGCTGTGGATTTAATTTTCGTAAGTCAACTTATGAACGTCACATCAGTTGAAAACCAAAGAACAACCTTTTAAAGACTTATACACTGTCTATAGTTTACGCGAGTAGTACACATTTAAATAAAACACTTTAACGGTTTAAAACACGATATATTATTTTAAAAAACGAAAATAAATTGAAATAAATTTATTTTCGATTTTTAAATTATATTATGCCTTCATGTTAGCACATGTGAAAAATATTAATGTTTTCAAACACGATATATTAGTTAAACTTTTTAACTTCGGCCCGACGTTTCGGATGCTTTGCAGCAGCCGTGGTCACGGGCCCAAGTTAAAAATCATTTTCAAATAAGTTTAACTAATATATCGCGTTTTAAACTATTAAAGTGTTTTATTTAAATGACTAAATATACATTAACTCCCAGTTCTCAAATCAAGGACGTAGAACGAACGAGAAGAACTGGCAAGAAACTCGCCGCCGCTTTAACTACTGTGCCATAGATATAATAGTTTTACAATTCCAAAGGCATTAACATTTTACAACACTTAAGCTTTCTTAGGCAGGAAAGCACGCCCAAGGATAGAATGATTTACGTCACAACGCCGCGTTAGTATACAAATAGCCCATTATGCCAATGTTTAGACATTCTCATGTAAATGTACCAGCGCCATTCGAAAGATAAATAAGTTCTAGATTGTATTATGAATAATCCTGATAGGTGGAACCTTGGGTATAGCTGTCGAGGAGCTAAGAAGGGGACTTAGGACACTAACTTATAAAAAGATGACTTTTGTTTTTGTCTAAAGTTAAAAATCATGATTCACTTGATGGAAGGTGAAAACTCCCAGCCAAATAATATCTAAACAAAATGTGTTGTGTACATATTTTACCTTCAGATATCCGGAAATATATAGACTGAAACTTAAACGCGAACTGCACGGTTTTTGCATCTGTGGACGATGGTCGTGGCCCGGGCCTGGGGATCGTTTAGATACCAAACATTACCCAAATTTTCCAATCATAAAAAAATGAACGAAACATGTTTCAGAAAATTATAAAGTATAAATTGAAAATCGATTTAAATTGATAAAAATTATAATCGATGCTGTTACTCTGAACGGAACGTTGTGGATGCCGATTCAAGTCCTGCCCGTGTCGCAATTTTTTTTTCAATTTATAATTGAATTTTAATTTATTTAATGCCATTATAGCTTGTGAAAAATATTAATGTTTTCAAATTATAACGTAATCAGTACCTCTAAAGAGATATAACTCGTTTATAAGCAATAGAAATATACTAATGAGTCAAACGTAGATATGTATTTATAAAATTAAAAAATACTTGTTCTAGTCTCCAAAAATGGCGCTGGCAGGACATGGTGAGCTCAAACATGGAAAAATTAACATGATCTGTCTCAGAAAATACCCACATAAAAAAAAAACAGGGGAAAGGCAAATTCTCGGAGACGATGATCTTCCAAAAGAGAACTTTCCCTTCAAAATATTTGTATGTAAAGGGTTTTCTATTTAATGTATTCTAAATTCGCCTTTAAATGTTTCTGTTATACTCTCAATAGGATTATTTTGTTTACATTTCCAAGTTCCAGTGAAGCTTAGATTCTATGAACGTTAAGTTGCGACTGAAACCTGGGATTTAAGAATTTATATCCACTTTTGAATTTATAAATCTTTTAGAAACGATAAATTTAGAGACATATAAATCCTTTTTGATAAATCCAATTTAAAATGCTTGGGTCTAAAGAACTTACGAGGAGCTTAAAGATATTTACAGAAATAGGTTTTTTCTATGCTTGGTAGGACAAACAAATCTGAAACCAATTGTAAATAAAAAAAAATCAGTTTATTTAAGGTTTACCTAATTAAATGTTTATTCTTATTTATTATTTACGAAGAGATATTAAATAAGAGAGATGTTCATTGAATCAATTCAAATATAACATGATTTCGCCTAAAATTTGAACTCTGAACTTCGTGTTCTGCTGTCGGGAGTTGTAACTAGAAAAGCGATAAAGGCTAGGTTGAGTAGACTTGCATTAAATTAAAAACAAACATCTAAAAATAATATTTAAACAGCACTATAGTCATTACATACAGAGACTGTTTGATTAATTACCACTTTGGTTACAAATATTGATCATTAAAATAACAAATTTCGGCGATTTAAGTTGGATATAGTATATTTCTTCAGATACATTCATATACATACACTATATCACTTGTTTTAATATATACAAACAAAGGTATTAACGTACCTACTTCCACCATTTTTACATACATTTTCAGTACTAGAGGGGAACGGAAGGACTTGAGACGTATTGAACACTATAAAATTTCCAGATGGCCTGAAGAAAATCATTAAAAGTTTATTTAGCTTCTTGAGCACCAAAATAGTTGAACACGAATAATGATGATACATTAATGATACAATGTGAGCTATTATTCACATACCGAACTCGTTACACTATTTTACGACAATAAAGCAAACATGTTGTAAATTTTATAAAACTGTTACGAGACATCATAGTAATTCGAAAGCGCGATGAGTATTTTATTTTACATGTTTATTTGGATTCCATACAAAATTACATTATAAATTGAAAACATTGACGACACTTGGACAGGACTTGAATCGGTATCCACAGCGTTCTGTGTTGTTGCTCGAAACAATTGAGCTACAGAGTCCTACACATCATTGTTGATGATTTTAACCTGACATGTTGACATTGATACATGCACCTCTCGCGCAAGATTGCCCGTTCAAGTCTTGCCCGTGTCGTAAATTTTTTTCAACTCACAATCAATTTTAAATTAATATAGTGCCATTATGTGCAGAACATTAAATTTTTTACTAATAATAATAGCTAATACTATTTCAATTGCTTCAACGATCGATTCTGTTGGCAAGAAGTCGATCATTTTTCTGTGCTGTGCCTTACCAAAGACAATTTACGCGACGCGAATAAATAATACACGTATTATTTATTTAAACATTAACACTTTTGTAAACTTATTGTGAAAACAAAAAATATGATGGTGACATTTTAATAGTGGAATCGAAAATCCGCCATCTTTTAATATCAATTAATATACTCTATGTAACTCGCGCAATTAGTTTGACGCTTAATAGAATCTGCGTAGTATTTTAGATTGGAACTTGTATATATACACATTTACCTAGACGGGAAAAAATCATTACCCTATCTCTTGGCTACGTCGTAGTCGGGTAAACAGGCTAATGAAAATGTATGATTAGCATCATGATGATCGCGTAAGAAACACGTGAACCACGACGGCTTCCTCAATTTAGAACCGAAGAAATATACCGCTCAAATCAACATTACTTTATTGATGTTCCGTTTGACATATTGATGGTGTTCTCGAGGTGTTTGTTTGTGAACACGTCAAGCGATATCGCTTTTATAATTTGAATGTATAGAGTGCATAATATATCACCTTAGTTTGAAAACACAAGAAAATTGGTGAAGTCATATGACTTTGAACTACGAATATACAACATTCAGTTAATATTACAGCATTAGTTTATATATTTAAATAAAACACTGTAACGGTTTAAAACGCGATATATTTTAGTTAAGCTTGTTTGAAAAGCCGTGGTCACGGGGGTTTCGGCTGCTGCAAAGCATCCGAAACGTCGGGCCGTAGTTAAAATTTATTTTCAAACAAGCTTAACTAATATATATTGCGTTTTAAACCGTTAAAATGTTTTATTCAAATATGTACTTCTCGTGTAAACTATAGACAGTATTTAGTTAATATATTTCAATAATTAAGACACAGTATAAAATACTTGCGTGCTAACAGAAGTGTTAGTTTAATATTATGAAATCGCTTAGATAGAAACATATTATAGGTGGCCGCTAGAGACAGAGTAGCCTAACTGCAATTTTATGACTTGACTTATTTATATTTTTATAGTCTAAAAATGTTAATCTACAAGGGCACAGTGACCGCAAATTGTTTGAATTGATTGATGATTCTTACACAAATTCATTTTCGCCTAAGTTGATTGTGCATTTTCATTTTCCTCCTAATTTTTTTTTTTTGTAGCGCACACTGCCTACAGCAGCCTCATATTTAAACGTTTGCTAAAAATTGGTTGCATAATATTTTATCCAATGCACAGTAGCTATAAATAAACTAGAAGTGCCATGTGCAGACTTTTTCCTCTTAATACCATTACTGGTACAGAAATCACAGCTGCGCAATTATCCGCGACCAGATTATAAAGCATTAAAGGTTGATCGGCTATTATTTATAACAATAATTATGTACAAATAAGTTAATGGTTAATAACAAAGGTATAAAGTTATTGTAGTCATAATTATATCAGAAATATTTTGCCTTTTTATACTTTGTGGTCTCTACGACAACGGATGACAGTTCTTCCAGTACCACTTGCAGCAATCAACTTTATTAAAATCACTAAAACTTCCACACAAAGCCCCAACACAACTTCAATGAATGGACCCAAATAACAAAAAGTGTTCTCGTGAACTCGAAATGTCATTCAGGAAGCTTACAAAGGCATCTAGCACTTAGTATCACTCTGGATGAAAGTTATTTTCAAAGTGGAAATACAAAAGTTCTCAAACAACTATCGGGCAGTACCGGACGCCATTTTAATTTTATTCGTGAAGGTCGTCCAATGACAAAAAGTAATTATGTCACTTTTATTACATTTCACAGTGAAGATTGTCACTATCTCAAACCTCTATTATTTAAATTTAACCAAGTATAGGAATAAAAAAGCTTTGAGTAGATAAAATAATAATTTTATGGATTTCGGAAATAATTAAGAACATTTTCTTCCTTACACGACGAACAAGTCATTTAAATTAAACACTGTAACGGTTTAAAACGTGATATAAATCACTTAAGAGAAATAAACGTCTTAAACCATAAACCATATTAAATGTCTTGATTTAAATACTGTCTGTACGAAAAGTCGGGCTGTAGGTAAAATAATTAAAAATAAGTTTAACTGATATACTATATACTGCAAATTTCCCGTCTCTTTTATTGCAAAAAATAAATATACAAAAATATCTATTAATAAAAATTATAATAATTTAATGCGTAATAAAGTATATCAACTAGTTATTCATATTTTTTCTCATGATTCAATTGATTTACGATTTCCGTTCCACGATTGAATCACGATAATCGTAACCGCGCAGACGAACAGAAAATTCCTAACGAGACTTCGTTAAGAAAAGTATGCTGTACTCGTACTACTCTGAACTCTGGAGCTTGAAGTCTGAAGAGTTGGTCCTTCAGTTCGATAACAGATATCGCACGGTGCGCACGTTGCTCCCGCCATTACGAACTTGCCAACTCGCGTACGAAAGGAACTGTCAAACTTGTCGATGGTCGTGTGAAAAAAGTTAAAAACTTTTGGCGGGAAATTTGACGTTCTGTCATTTTATGTCCCGAATTATATTCATTGGTGTTGAATGTGATTTTTAATGGCGAATGAATTCGAAAATAAGCTATAATTAGACCGGTTCAGAAAAGGGTGAGTTATAATAAATGTCAATTTATGTACCATATAAATTAATATCTCCTAGTTTTTTATTTATTAATATCACAGAAATAAAGTGATACTCTTATTAGGACCTTATAATTAACAAATATCTTCTTTATATTCAATATTATTTTACCTAGTTGAATAATAGATATTTCAAGAACATAAAAAATTTCAAGAAAAGTTTACGCGAGTAGTATTTATAATTATATATAACACTTTTTAACAGTTTAAAACGCACAAAATATTCGTTATCTTATTTAAAATCTAACATCGGGCCGTGGGTAGTTGAAATACATTGTAAATTAAAAAATATTGAATATTTTCGGGCATGAGCAAGTTGCAAGTAATTAAAATATAAACATTGTAAGGCACATAATAAGACGATCGTTCAGACAGGGGGATACATATATAAACAATATAACGCAAAAGATTAAATTATCATACCAGATTGATACTGATATTACATTGGTAATATATCCTAAAGACAACGTATATTCTACTAAACATTTTTAAAACTTCGCTTTTCCGGTTTTCTTGAGATGCTGTTAGCACTCGCGTTTCAAAAGATCTATTATTTTCACTCAAACCCATTAAATAATAGTTACATAACACCCCCGCTCTTGGGGCTCTGGAAATTTATTATCTGTTGAGGCGTCTAGCGGAAATATTTTAGTGTCAGACTAACGGCTTGCTACCTACGGTTTGTAGCTTTAATAGACTTAGAAATTGTGCGAGCAATTTTCTACACGTTTCTTAGAACTGCCGAGTGTATAATATGACGTGCGGCTTGCAAGAGGCACTTCCTTACGATCCGCTAAAATTAAAGCAGAGCTTAAAAGCTTCTGGCTTGCTAAAGAACTTTTAGAGCAGACTTTGTTATGCCATTCCTTTTAAGCAAATGTAAAGATAGAAATGTTTGTTACCACCTTTGATAGTTTAAAACGCAAAAGTTTGATTTGAAATTTATTTTTTTTTTTTATTATTATTTATTCAAAATTTTTACATTTTATTTTTAACATAAGCGTCAACAAAAACTCATTCGAGTTTTTCCGTGACGCCCTCGTCTCAGCACACATTACATTTATACATGTATATATAGTTATATTACAAACAATTTCACGCATAAGCAGTAAACAATCAAGTCGCAACATTAATTAGAAGATATTTGGAGGGAGTAGAATTTTTTAAATTTGGTTTTAAAATTTTTTGTGGTAAGTGACATTTTTAACCTATTTGGTAATGAATTAACTAATTTGGGTATGACATAGTCGAGTGTTCTTTTTCCGTATAGGTTGTTGTAATATGGCACTTGCAAGTAGGTCATGTCCCTTTTTCTGGCCGAGTAATATTTTTGCTCTATTTTATTGAAATTGTTTGTGTAATAGTTTTCAGTTAGGATATTTAGTTCTACTTTTTCATGTATAGGTATTACTTTACAGAATGCGAATAACTGTCGATAATCTTGTGTAAATTTTGTTTTAATGTTTTTAGGAACAATTTTCTTTAAGATTCTAAGCTGAAGAGAATAAATACGATCAAGGTGAGATTTACTGGATCTCCCATAACTCGATAGACCGTATTGAATGATCGATTCGGCTAGCGCCCGGTACAGTAGTAAGCGAGTTGTGTATGGTATTTTGTACTTAATTATTGCAAATTTGGCCAATATTCCCCTAAGTTTGTCGCACACCGCATTTATGTGGTGTTTCCAGTTGAGGCGATTATCAATAATGAGGCCCAGGTAAGTATGTGTATCCACAATTTCTAGAGCTTCACAGATACAAGACAGATACAGATTAGTTCAATTATTTAAAACTACGATCCATCGTAAATCATTTTTAATGTAATGTGTTACTAACATAATCTACTAATGTAGGCTACAGAAAATACTTAACGCGTTACAATATAATATAGTAATATTGAATTAAACATATTTGTACATATCAAGTTATATCGTGAACGACTGAAATAATGTAATTAAAATAAATATATTTATACTCCTGGTGTTGGTCTCCAAGATAAGAGAACATTTTTAACGGTTTAAAATGCGAAGCATAATAGTTTATTTATTTTCATTTAACTACCCCCTCACCTCGATGGTACTTAGTACAATTTAAGTAATGCCGATGTAATTAAATTAAAGTTATAACTAATATATTGCGTATATTAAACTCTTAATTTGGTTTCATTTAAATATGTATTACTTGCGTAAACTAAAAGAGAACGACTTCCGTCGATCTTACGTCACAGTTCGCAACTCTGGGATAAAGAGCTAGACCAGGTCTAGCCCCATCATGTCTAGCCTAGATCCTAGGCCATTCTCACAAGGGTCTAAGTTATTCGGCACTCTGATCTAGGCCCACAAAATGAAGGTTACAAATAAAATAAAACGACAAAAGCAGAATAATTTTCAATAAATCGAAGGCAATCTGCGATCTCGAAGCTTTCCTTATGATTACTTCTGTAATAACGTTGTTTGTTACGAAAGTAATAATTCGTGTCCAGTCTGTAGCCATTACATATTTCTTTTGATTGTTAGGGACTTCCCAAACACGGTCGTTAGTCTTTTCGAAATGAGATCTTTCCTGTCGCCAATTAATTTCTTTTCATAGGCTGATATCAAAAGGCAGTAGAATAGAATTTATGTACATTTCCGGTTTTAAAGTTAGTTACCTTCTATTAATTCGGAATTGTAATTGTAAATTTTGTATTATTGGGCGACATAACTTAATAAGGTTAAAGCCTATTAAATAAAGATTAAAAAAAAAGTTAGTTACTTTTTTTACTCTCAATTCCACCAAATAAACTATTCCATTATTTATTCAATATGGACAGCTAAACTAGTCTACTGGTATAATCCTGGTAAATATGATTTCTATGTTACATATAGGCAGTGCACATTTCATTCCATTTCAAATTTTTAAACATAGCATATCTACGACTTAACAGTTACTTTAAACGGTTTAAATCGAGATATATATGAGATAACTTATTTTTAATCTAATTTTATTACTTTAATTTTTCACGTTATAAACCGTCAAAAGTGTTTTATTTAAATGTGTACTACTCACATGTCTCTGCTGTTGTTTCTCTGTTATATTGTCAGAGAGCATATCGGAGTTCTCTGTAACATCGTCCCTACAACTGACTGGGTAATTATGTTAAAACGAAAACAACATTTTGGCCGTTAATTTAAAAGCAATTAAATGTTATCCAATTTGGTAGTGTCCCTACATTTATCATGAGACTTTTGGAAAATAGCTCACGTGCGACTGAATATAGCTGTAGTGTGGTTTTAAAGGGATTATTGTAATTATATTTAATATTTTTTACTTCATAATGCAATGGCGTCCAAGTATGCAGGAGTTGGTGCAAATATATGGTTTAAATGTTTCTAAAAATCTACTTGCAGACTATGTAGTTAGGAGCAACAAAATTTTGCATATAGTCAAAGCTTGCAAAGCAAAATGTCGGTCGACAGCATATGATAATCTAATACAGCTTACGTTCAGATTATATGAAGTAAAACTTATACTTGTCTTTCTACGACTGACATAAATTTCATCTAGATTGTCGGGCTCGTTGGTAGCAATGTACGAGAATAGCGAGTAAACAGCGTGTCGTGGCTTCGATTCTTACCGGGTTAACTTACCACCGATTAACGAATATCAAAAGTGAAAATAGGCCGACAGCATATTTTGTTACGATAACATATGGCTCAGGTATTTCACCTTCTCTTCTAAAAAAGGAGTGAAAACAAAACCAGTTTGCTTTGGTTCCGTAAGCCATAAGAAATCTCGTTGTATGTTCTTTTAATATAACATAAGAAATACGTCTATAAAAATTTCAATAGTGTTGCCTCCCGAAAAACAGCAAGAGAATCTTGTTTATTGGCTCCTATTCTATTCTTTGGGCACGGAATCCTTATTACACCAATCTCATGGGAATCAAGAATTTCGGCCGAATAATATGATCTAGTCTGCAATTTAGTAAACGAGTAGTAGAATATTCCCTAAAACGAAGTGTGTCTAGATCAACATATAATATATGGCCGTAAAGTAATTTACGCAAAGTAATGTAATAAAATAAATGGCTTAAGCATCAGTTAATTTTGTGCAAAATGGATTAAAATTATTTATGTGAGTTTATAGTAGATTAAAAGTACTGTTTTCTGTCTTTAGGGAACAAATTAAATACCTTCCTGTTTTAACCAGCCCCTCCTAGTTCAGTGTAATTACCTTTTAATATACATTTTCCTTCATTTATCAACTGCTATATATAAAGCACTATATATGAGGCCGTTAGAAGCAAAGTAGCCTAACTGTTATTTTATGACTTGACTCTTTATATTTAAAAATGTTAATCTACAAGAGCACAGTTACCGACAATCGTTAACGTAATTTTTACACAAATAATTATACAGAATGTATGTCTGTTTCCCCTAAGGCGCATTTCTATTTTCCTCCTTATTGAAAATCATGTTTTTTTGTAATTAGGCCACTCTGCCTCTAGCAGCCTCATTTTAGGTAAACGAAATTCCATTTTCTTCAGTAGAGCTTTAGGGAAAATTTCCGTATCTGTTTCGCTTATCGACTTTACTATCTGTTAAGTTGCAACTGGTTGATTTGATCACACCTTTGTACCCTGCCTGAGCTGAACAATTTCTTATTTTTGGGTTTCGCAGGAACTGTCGTGCTTACAATCTTAAGTAACGCGTTCGACAATTGACCAGCTATGAAAATTATTTAATAACATATAAAGTGTGTTTAAAATCAGTCAAAGAAATCTCCTCTATGTTGAACCAACTAAACTAATGTAATTGAAACTTAATTTAGATTCTACGACAAAAACCACCCTTGATACAGCACGTTACAAAAGCCAATATTCGGTTAACTTTATTGCAAAAAAGGGCAAATTCATAAATTTCACGAACACCAACTTCAGGAATATGAGAGACCATAAAATTTACAATGGTGTTAAGTCTTACA